CCATTATTTTCCAGTAAGTAGGTCAACGCTCCTGCTACATGTCACGCGATTTTTTGCAGCTACCGGGCCGGAATCCGACTTGTCTTCAAGTTCTACATGCCTCTTTCTAGCTCTCTCTCAATACTCATCCAACTGCGTTTCGGACAGCGGCTATCTCAAAAGTCTCGCTATCCTTTGGTACGATGGAACGGCGCGACGATGGATGGAGTGCTCGGGTAATAGAAAGGAGAATTACTGGGCCTATCGGAGCCAAATCGGAGCGCTGCGATAGAGGGATTGTCGTCGAGGTCGTCAGGCACGAATGGCTAAACGGTTCGATAATATCTCACAGTGAGCTCTGTCACAGTAATGTTCTGGAGCGTTCAAACCGTGGGATCCAAGCTTAGTGCCACGCTCAATAATCCCTGGATGATACTCGAACCGTCTGCCTACGAGAGAAGTTGTCGGCAGGTGGGAAACTTTGATGTTTCTCGCTTGCCGACAACATCCTCCATACGGCAGATTGGTACCTGTCTATCAGAGACGAGCCTCATCCACAAAAACCTTTCGCATCCCTTTATATTCCCAGCCACGACATCGGTTTTTGAGACCTGCTCGATTACTTGGAACGATGCCGAATACAAGATTGGGTCGTTTCTTCTGCCTTCGTTAGATGGGGGCTCGTGAAAGTTCTTGAGGCATTGCGCGAGAAAAAATCCTGCTGTTCTGCATTGGCGCACCACACCTTAACAGTACCTCTCGCAAGGAATCTGGTGGACCGCAATCGTACGATGCCAGTAATCGACGTGTATTTCCTCATTGCCAGACGTTCTTTCGTCTGCCGCCGCAAAGTGGGTTGGAGCCTTGTGGAGTCTTGGTGCGTTTTTTTGTCCATATATGCGCTTCTCCTTACTGACTTTAGGCTAGAATGTATAAGGAAAGAGCTTCGTTACATGCTCAACAGAAGGTACTTAGCTCGGACAAACGATATATGGGCCCTCGGTGTCGTTCTCGTCACGATGGTCAATAGGCATACTGTTTTGACGACGGTTATCCCGAGTTCGCAGAAAGACGCCTCTCAAAACGAACCCTCAATCGGGGCTTAGATCTAGAGCTGAGGACTCCCAGACGCGACGATAGAGGAACTGGATCAAACACTGTCATAGCCAGATGATAGATCACACCATCGACGAGTCCACAACTGCCGCTTTCTGCCCTTCCACAATCATCTTTCACTTTTACCTTTGGGGAACTCCTCCGTTTTCGACGGCCAATATCCACGATCCCTATGTCCCTTCAAGGCAGATGTGTAGTATCTAGGCCAGATGCTTCATCTCGACATGGACACGGAAGTTAAAGGTTTCGTAGAGAAGGCGGGCTTCTTTCTAAACAATGGCAGTGTTGTTCTCATGTCCTTTTCAATGTAGCACTTCAAGGTTCTTCACGACTATTTTTCATGTGCTCCTTGTAATTAGGGCTGCGCACCGTCCGTATCCGTACCGTATACCGTATGGGCAAGGCTGCTGACGGTGTCGGTCCGTATAATTACGGCCATTACGGTCGTATATACGGCCGTATTCATTGTCGAGAGTATGTCTCATCTAAATGCATCAGTATGGTAGGCAATGTATATTATACTGACGTACTAAACAGTTCAACACGTTGCGTGTGTATCCTCGCTGGGAAAAGGCCACTTTTGGTCAGTTCAAGAGCCATGCCATGGCGTCATAGTTCCCTCAAGGCCAAGTTTTGAGTCGTCGAGGGCTAGGATAGATGGTGAGATCAACGGAGATGATTTTCAGATACTCAAATACATGTTTGATTGATGTCAGAGAGCAAAAACGGAGCTCAGAAGTGCCTCCTCGCATCTTGTTGCACTGCCACACACCTACGGCCGTCGACGGCCGTATAGTACGGTATGTCTGGGAGTGCTCACGGCTTCGGTACGTATACCGTACACGGAAGCCGTATCACCGTACAATACGGTGACGGCGCGCAGCCCTACTTGTAATGCAAGATAGAACGGACTTGCAATGGAGGGATTGCCGTGGAACCGTCGAGATCGGCCACTGTCCTTTCATTTCTCGCCCGATACCTGTACCATATCCTGCCCCGAGTCCTCAGAACATGATACGCGGCTGGAAGATTGCACTTAGGTCATTTGCTGTGCCTTCCGGCTGGCTGCTGAAAGAGGGTGCCCAATCCGGAGGTGAGTATGCCATCTTTTATTAAAATCAGGAACTTAATGAACATCTACAGACGCTCCCGCTCCGTGTACGTTCATCGGGGCAGATTATGAATTGGATATGAAAGGAACGAGCCGTGTGCTGAGGACATTACAGTGGGGTCTATCACCACGTCTTACTGATATGTACTAACCTTAGGATCAAAAGATGTCGTGTCGCTTTCAAATAAGGAAGGATCAAAGATGAGCCTACAATATCCCAACCGCAATGTTCTTTCACAATGTCGCGCCCTGTTCTGATCGGACGGTTCCAGCCGTCTCATATCGGAGTTGAGACTGCACGCGTCGGACTGATTACTTTGAACATGTTGAATAGAAGAGTGGGTCGGTTTTCCCCCGCGTCCTTGAGACATCGCTTTGGTTTCCGCAGTCAGGCCTTATATCTCGCATAAGAAGACTTATGGAGAGCAAGTGTACGGCACCATCTCTTGTGTGGCAATGCAAGGACTATACAGTGCCGAAGTCACCCCCCCTCCCACAATGGTGAACCGAGGGTCCTTCACCAAAGTACGAGGGAGAGAACGATGCGTGTCTACCTTGCAGACTGCGTCAGTGGTGCTAGCCAGACTATGATAACCTCAGGTCATTCTATACCAAAGACCATTTCCCTCCATCTTCCCGCGCCACGCTCTGTTCACGTTTCCGACGGCGGATCATAGTTTTCCTGGCCCCTCTCCTTTGGCAAACCTTCATCACTAGTCGCGTGGTGATGAACAGAAAGCACCGCTGCGGGGGTCACAGGCAGCGGAGGCATAACTTACGAATGACTGGACGTTCTTGTGCACCCTGAGCGCCTATACCGGAGAGCCCCACGTCCTGAAATACAGTAATCATCGCCAAGTAATGACCGTGGAACATGAAATGGTCATGCGTAAACGGCTCATTACCCGCTCGTCGTCCATTGGTCCTCCCTTTTATATCTCCCTGCCCCTCATCTGTTGGTAGCATGAGAGACGAAGACTACATCTGGACCCTTGTTTGTGTCTTCATGTTAGTATTTAAAGAGCGATGAACCCTTCTTTTATGGGGGACTTGATGAACGCCACCGCTCCGCGCATATCCATCAGAACAGATATCAAGGGAAGGAGAAGGAGAAGTGTACTTACCTTACAGTAAGCTCTATCACCGTGTTGTCCTGAAATATAATAACCTTAGAATTAAAAGGCACCGCGTCGCTCACAATTAAAGAACTCGCGGAACCAGAGCTTAAGTCCTTCAATTCATTCCGTCCTCAGGAACCTTTTCGCCTCTCTATCCCAACCAAGGATCTCCGAATATCACCCATTATTCTCATCGGGCTTCCCCAGCGGTCTCACGTCGGTTTTTGAGATCTGCCCGTTGCATCTCTCGTTTCAACAAGTACCGCTGGAGCCAAATCCGCATCTTTCTACTCGGCTTATCTCTTGAGCTAGAAAGTGAGCGCGCAGCACCCAGGAATTGCTGATGTTGCTCGGTATTTATGAGTGCAAGCGTCTGTGATGCAGATCGTAGCAATTGCTAGCTGCTAAGCAACACCTTTGATGTCGCGATATTCTTGCATGACAGGCTCCCCCATATGCGGAACAAGGTGTTTTTATGGAGAGCAGCATTAATCTGCACTCGGGGAAGATCTACTATCGATGATTCGCAGCCCGACCTCGCCATCGTCCTACTGTATGTCGATATCCCATTACACGGGTATGAGACAATCGTTCAAGCCAGTGACACCATCGAGCCTTATTTTAACAGAAGCCCGTTGAATCGTTTGCATTGGACCAGGAATACCTTACCCTTTGTCCTCCGCTCCGTACTTGAATGACACACATAACCCCATCCACCCGACAGCCCACCCTCTCGTTCGCAGTTCTGCCTAAGACGAGCTATCTCTGTGGAGGAATTCCATTCACACACGACGCAGCCCAGTTCCGTATATCAGAGGCTCTAACCCACGAAGATAGACACGTTAAGAATGCACGAATATTTAGGAGAGCGGGATCAATAACTCCCCGGACCGTCCTCGGAAACGCATACACGTGCACCCCGAACGAGATCCATCCTACCATCGGGAATACCGTCACTTTCACCTACCTCACCATGAACCGAACTTATCCTTCCTCCCACCCCTTCTCGCTCTGCTTGTGACGGTATAAGGATGATGACCATGATGTACTCTGGATGGAGTAGGACCGAATGTGTTCGATAGCCGATTGTCTGTGTCTTTCTTCGACCACCGTCGACGCTTTTGTTGGTATTATCCCTCGTCATGACGTTGGATAGTACGCTCACTACAGCAGCCCTCGATACTGAGCTTCACTGCGTTTCTTGTGGGTCTCTTGAATGCAAGATGCTAGGGTTCGCTACCGCTTGGGCATGATCCTCTCTATCAATCCGACTGCAGACCAGGGATGATGTGGTTTGTGTTTTCCATGTAATCGCGAAGGACTAGTAGTAAGTGACTTGAGGATATCGTTCAAGAATAGCTAGTTCGGAGTCGGAATGGAAGATAGAATATCTGAATCAGAATCCTGAGGTCTGACTCGGACGAAGTATTGTGTGATATTGTCACTCGGAGGACTATCTTCTTTGCCAACTAGCAACTATGTGCTGATCATTCTGTAACTGTATCACACTGCAGATTCCGAAATTTGTTTGCATACCGCAAATGTTGCTGCCCTCGTCTGGGTGGTTGAGCAGTGCGCACGCCGTACTGCAGTCACGAGTAACGACTTTCGGAGTCCGGACTGACGAGTCTATCGTATGGGCACAGTGGGCAGTGGGATGAAATCAGAGGACAAAACAATTACCTGGGAGTCGAACCCAGCTTTCGCGCAAAATGTCTTATATATAGGGAATGACAGGCGCGTGTACTAACCGATATACTACCAGAGAATTAGCTTCTTGTGAGCAAAAGTGGGGAATCATACTTAGTGGAGTGTGCCCTGTGAACTCACAAAATTACATAACGAATTTCACTTACCTTGCGAAACGCGGTTCCTGAGCGCGTGACGTCTTAGGGAAAGCTCGCAAAACACGATTGAAAAAGTTGGAACGGTCCTGCGTAAACCAGAGTGAGTTGTCTTCGTAGGGTCAATAACCATTCCTTCCCATGACGTCATCCAATCGCGTTCCCAAGCGTAGCGGGTCACATGCACAGCTCGCCCTCCTTTGCTGTATGAATGTGGCTAAATTGGTCTCGCAATGGAGGGCTCGCCGTGTAGCCTCCTCACCGTCAAGTTTAAACCACCAGCTTCTCATTTTCTTCTGTGCCTGGACCACTGTTTGTACACAGTTTCGAAGTAAGTTTTCCTTTTTATGCCATGTACGTCTTCGCTTCATTAGAAATCTAAGGGCGGAATATGAGTTGGATATGAAGGGCATGCTGGGGACATTCTGGGACATTGCAGTGAACGGTATCACCGGTCCTCCTCGTGAAATGTACTTATTTTAGGATTCAAGAATACTGCGCAAGCTGAAACCCACCGATCTAATAGTTCACAACCGTCACTGCATTCACCGTGCCCCGTTCTCATCGACATCGCATATCTCAGGTTTTGAGACCTGAAATTGCAATCGTCGGCAGCCCCACCGAATAAACACACTGTCGCTCCAGAAGAAAACATCCTGCTCCACAATCAGGACTACTTACGCCAGACTACGCCTTATATCTCGCATGTGCCGAACCAAAAGCGGAGTCACGTAAGGATCGGCAAAGGCCGACTTAACCAAAATGCACCGCCACCGAACACCGCACCAAAAAACCGCCCGAGCCTGTAGTATACACAGAACTCGGAACAGTACGTGGCGAGCACATTTTCTCCCTTGACAGCTGCCATCGCCATTAACAGTGAGCTTTATTTCCCTCGAATTTTAGAGGCCTACTTAACGGCCTTACTTTGCGGCTGAAGCCTATGGACTCGTCTGAGAAGCCGAGTCATACCGGGGATCCGCCTCATCCAGCAGCGGGTGAGACTCGTGCCCCTGCTGCAATTATCGCTGATTCCCGTTCTAGGTGGGACATTTTTCGGACTGAACAGGAATCAGCTGCATTCGTGGGGAGTTGGTGCGTCTGGTTATTTCAACTTGTTCGCTGTGATATTTAAATGGCTTTAGGTGCTCCACGCGACTATAAGGCGCGCTATCCTCCCGATCCTCATGGCAAAGGAATGTCCAGTAATGCACGGATATGGTCTATCTACCTTGATGAAGCCGCGGATTTCGACGCAAATATGTTGGCAGAGTGGCGGGATACCATTGATGTCCTACTTGTTTTTGTGCGTCTCACGTTTCCTTGAAAAGTCAGGCTCAAGTCTAATGATAATAATACAGGCTGGTCTTTTTTCTGCGGTACTAACAACATTCGTGGTACAAACATCACAAAGCATGCAGCCAGATTACAATGAGGCATCCATGCTCCTTCTCTTCGAAATCCTCAAGGCTACCGCGTCGAACGGCTCCCAAATCACTATTCCTTCTTCCCCTACCGACTTCTTTTCTCCCAGCCGTTCCGATGAGTGGACGAACAGTTTGTGGTTCGTGAGTCTGACTCTCAGCCTCATTACTGCCCTGGTCGCCGTTTTGGTCAAGCAGTGGATTCACCAATACGTCGCCATCGTCTCCGACAGCTCCGCGCGCGATCGTGCAAGAATTCGACATATGCGCTATACTGGACTACAGACGTGGCGGGTGCCGATGATCATTGGCTTGCTTCCGGTCCTCCTTCATGTTTCGTTGGCACTCTTTTTTGCTGGCCTCATTATCTTCCTCTTCTCTTTGGGCATGAAAGTGGCCTGGCTAGTATCTATTATCGGTGCAGCGACATACATGGCCTATGTTATAGCTCTAATCCTCCCCCTCATCCATCCCTACTGCCCGTACAAGGTCCCGTTAACGCTTTACATCTACCGTCTGTATCAATACATCCACCGCCTGCATCAATTGTTTCAATATGGCAACGGCTATCTTATTCGACGTGTCGGATACTGTATCCGTTTCATACGACACTATACCCACGTGTTTGTCCGCTACTGCCGTTGTGACCTAGATGAGGATGAGCACTATAGATGGCTGGAACGGGAACGGCAGGAACGGCGGGAACGGCAAACGCAGGAGGGTTCAATCCCTTTCCCCCAAAAGTTTCCCACTCTGAAGGAAATCGAGCACAATCACATTCAGCAATGTGCTACGATGTCGGATCTGCAATCGCTACTATGGCTGCACTCCTCCAGCTCTAATGCATCAGTGCACCAAAGTGTGGCGCAAGCCGCTTCTGGAATGACGTTCGACACTCTGAAAAATCTTTCGGATAAATATGTGTCTGTATTTCTGATATCTCTGCACCAGCAGATAGAGCTCGTAAAATCACTTCCGCTGTCTCTTGGCACTGACGGTGAATTGGACCAATTGAACCAAGCATTGACGGTCCTTTATGCTCATTCAATGGATGAACGCGTTGATGGGCAGCTAATAAAATTATTGTGCTCCATTAGACTTGAACCAGTCTAGGAGGCCGTGTAGTACCTATTGAGGGTATGAACGACGGACTAACAACAAGGTAGACTAGAGCAAAAGGGGGGGGGGATATTGAAAATGAAGATATTGAGTAGCACACATACATTTGTAGTCTGTTTTTCACCTTACAAAAATTACGATGTGTCGCTGCGAGAGATTCACGTGGACCAAGCTCACGGCATTACTTCTCCGCCTTGTTCTCGTCAGGCCGTCCCAAGGGGCTTCTGGAAAATCTATCCTTAGCTCGTAGCTGTTCACCTTGATAAGAAGCGAACGTACAGCATCCCGAAACTGTTCGGGTCTCTTTCTTCGACGCTTTAGCATTGGTGGTTCACTCTGGCCAGTGGCGAATGGTGAAGAGAAGGAAAGTTACACAACACCTTTGATGCCGCGATATTCTTGCGTGTCACGCTCCTACTTGCAGAACAAGCTTAAGGAGCCTTTATAGGACTACCCCAGACTCGGGGAGGACCTACTATCGATGCTGCGATGTGATTTGCACCCCGGCCTCGGTGATCAATTTATATCGACGTTCCATTTACATCGTATGAGACAATCACTCAAGCCAGTGGCGCCATCGAGCCGTATTGCAATGTTGCTTCTCCCGCACCATTCTTGATCAAGGCCCGCTGAATCGTTAAGGTTACGCCATCCATCCACCTCACATCTACAACTAGAATATCTTACCCTTTCTCCTCCCCCACTCCGTACTCGATTATCCTATTCACCCCAGGTTTCGTCATGCCGGATGCGCGCCTACAGGTCCTTTCCCGTTAAGACAGACAGGCTAAACATACACGAATTCGAATACTTAGAAGAGGGGGACAGACGGTAGACCTCTCCCTGCACCTGCAGGCGAAGTTTGAATTACCATCATCTAATAACTTCATGCCGCTGCATCGACACTGAGTGCCATTACGTGCAAATAATTCCGGCAGTAGGCAACTGATCTTAGGGAAGGATAGGACAGGAATGATTCACCATAGCGTTAACGACAAATGTTACTACTGGAGGTCAATCAAGTAGATCTTCTTCACGTCAAGGAGCTGCGTTCAATGTTAGGTTATCCGGCTTGGACATGAAGTCAATGACATTGCGCTTGACGAGGGTCTGGCTGCGTAATGAGGAGGCATCGTATACAAGGTATCGAGAGCAGCAGTTCGTCGTCTTGGTTCAGACGTAGGCAAGGAAGGCTTCGCAGTCAATGTTATCCTATAAAAGGCAAAGTTACGAAGTGAGTGAGAAATTTGATCAAGTGAGAGCTAACCATAAATTCGTTGGTCTGTGGACTGGAGCACAAAGTCAGTGATGAATAAAAGGACGAGGAGATTGAGAAACTTACTCGAAGAAAACGACTCCGGAATGATCGTCGCTGATAGTAAAATTGTACGCCTGTCCTTCTCTAGGATTGCTCTGGCTTCTCCCAAGCATGAGACCGCAAAAGATGGCAAAACCCTGATAGTACCGTGAGGCGAAGAAGTGGGGTATGGGCTGTTCTACTAGCTCACGTCAGCGCGCCATTTATTAGTTCCCCATTGAGCAACTGCGGCTTTCATAACTTGACAAGAACGTTAAAAGTGCACCGTACGAGAATTCAGACCTTTTACCTAGCGCAAAATCATTGCAGTCAAAAATCTCTCTGCGCCGATTCTTGTCGCGTAGACCCGTACTGTTCCAAATTTCCCCCCAAAGATTTCTCGGAAGGATCAAATATCTGGAGCCCGAAAAAAAGGTCAAATAGTTCTTTTGGCGGAATGATAAGAATACGCACTCTCCATCAACCTGATAACTTTTATAATTCCTGGCGAGATCAGGATTGCTCCCAATAATCATCTTAATCTCTGCACTTGAAAGGCTCATACGCTTGAACAACCAGGACTGGTGAAAGTTATTATCACGGACATGGAAGTCACTGCCTTGGCATCCATAAATCGGGGTCCCGTTGGATGATCCGCTGTAACGAAAGACATTAGCAGTGTGACTGGGTGTTGTGGACACGGACAACACACCCGGTGTGCAGATCGGCGAAAGCTAGCAGAATGAGCTCAGGGAACAGACTGAAGAGGTACTAGACTTACTTCCAGATGCATAGTTCTTCATCCTGCAGCAGAATTTAGTCCTCAGCTAGAAGATACGAGCATAAAGACGCACTTGTAGCTTTGATTGCCTGCAGACTCCTTGATGATCCACTCCTGGTTCGTGCGGGTTCTGTGCCAACCAACGATAGGAGTCTCATTGTCTCTCCTGCCTAGAAAGAAAAAGAAAATTTCAAATGCTAGATAGATGATAGCGCATATATTTACCGCCAGACAAATCCATATAAGTCCCTGCAATGAGACTGCGGACGGTGAAGGTATCAGTCTTGCGAGAGACCGGCTCGAGCA